ACGTCGTTTGATATCGAGACTCTAGCCATGCAGCTGACTTTCCAATACAAACAGAGCAAAATCAAAACCCGATTGTTCACTAAATAAATCATCATCAAAGAAACGTAATTATTTCAGTGCAAATACTATTTCAAAGTGGCGAAATACATCAAAGTTTCTAATCTTAGACGGTTGAAAATATCGTTAATTAAAACTGGTAATTTTGTCACAGATTTTGTGTGAGACGCATTTAAAGCAAGATTGATCACAGTTGCCGTTAATGAGCTGCGAGACGTAAAGTGACGGAAGGTCTCTCATTTGATGATTGGAGGGGCAACCGAAGCAGGTGTGCATGAAAATTAAACTCGGTGCTCCGTCGACCCTTCTCAGGGTTACCAGAATCAAGGAGCACTATGCATTCAAACAAAATCTGCAGGAAGTCTGGTATCGAAAACTAAATGGATCGGTTCGGTCCCACAGTAAAAGTGCCGAACGAAGGTCAAGTATCTTTTTCTCTGGACGTAAGTCAGGTTGTAATTGCAGTTGTCATTGTAATGAGTACATTGTAAAGTGTAAATCGTAAATTTGCGTTTATTTGTCAATTCCCTTGGCACAAACAAATCGATACAGAAATTTGAGTCCATACTCCGCTGAAAGGATGTTGGGTTCAATTGACCAAGCCAACGCAAATTTGAATCTGGACGCAGGACTGAGGAAAAAAGGCTGGCCTAAAGTCGAGTTTATTTTCCGTCCAGAAATTACGGAGTTTTTGAAATTTGTATTTGTAATTTGTTTCGCTGGTTTCTGACTCTGAATCTTTTGATAAAAAAGAAAAAGAATAAACACCAATCCAACATATTTATTTCATACTGGCAATTTATTTTCCTACGATTATCCCGAGAACTTCCCATATTCGATCGAAAACTCAACAGGGAGTCCTTTCGCCTACATAAGGTCCAGTGAAAAACAGTTCCAAAGTTTACAATTGGTAATGGTAGATTAGTAAGTACTTCGCTGTATTGTCGGTATGGCTCTCTCTCTCCAGCTTTTTGTTTCGCATATCGATGACTGTGCTTTAGTAATCTTACTTGTTTTCGTATGGGATCGAGCTCCACTTTCACGTTTGCCTTAAGTTCCATCCTCCCGAAGTTAGTGGACACACTCGTTAAATGCAGACAGCTCTGCTTAAGGTCACCATGGACAAAACTTCGTTTAGACTGTCCGCTCATATAACCGTTCTCTTAAGTGGCGAGCTTCAGTTGAGTGTTTACTTCCCGTGTGTGTCCGCGTAAGAATTAAAAAGCTTTGATTGCATTTCACTTTTCAGGTAACCTGGGCTCAGAAATAATTTTAGCAGCTCTCATACATTTTCTCTTACGTGCATGGTCGCGCTAAAATTAGCCACTTTGATTCATTTCGCCTTGTTTGTTATTTCCTGAAGAACACTTACGGTTATTCGAAATAATCCATTTAATCACCTGTGTCTCAAAACGATCTTTGACAGAAGTTTAAGACAAGTTAACAGGAACTTACCCTAGTCCCAGAGGTTTTCTTGAAATTGTTTCGCTCTCTCTTTCGTGAAAATTAAAAAAAAAACCCTGTGACCAGGGGAACAGGAACTACACTTATCTAAAAAGGTTAAATAATATCTAAAAAATCTAATATATATAATCACCTAGTGCGTGAACATTACTGAACTACCTGTTGTTAAGTTCCTCCTTCAGAATTCACTTTGTGCTATATTCGTAGTGATCAGAGAGATTTTGGTCAAAGAATGAAAAAGGCAATTGTTGTATAGCCTTACACCCTTAATTGAGAGAGACCTCCACCCCAGAAAAGCTTCTACCGTGCCTACTATGATTTCTAATTGGTGTCTTTACTTTTAAAAACACTCGATTCATAAATGCTGTCTAAAAACATAACCTCATATGCTTGCAGAAGTCGAACTGCTCTCCTAATACTCTTGTATTCAATTTCACTCATCTTGCCTTTGTCGTTAGCTTTGAAGGCCTCTATGACCTTGACGGCCCCTTCGTCCAGGTCACACACACCAAAAAAACGAAGGAAATCTAGGTCTTCGCGTTTCATGTCATATTTCTTCTTCATAGAGTCTTCAAGACTTGAACACATTTGACCAAACGTGGGAAAATTGACTGCAATAGCTGCCACAATCTGAGGGATTTCTCCATAATGAGCTAAGTAGCAAAAATACGAAGGATAACCCTGTGCACTGGCTTGGGGCTCGTAATTCTCCAGATCCAATTCGGAAAGTCCCATCGCTTTTGCCATGGTGAGGAGTTTTCTGTGAGCCAGCTTTTGGCCGTTATAAAAGAAGCTGAAGTACTGGCCTATAACGTCGCTGTCTTCGCACCTGGACACCAAGTGTTCCATGCTCCGAATGTCAGCTGATACGATGTAATATTGCTCACAAAGGAATGCCGCCATGACTTTTAAAGGAAGTGTACCAGCCTTTGATACTTGGACCACTCTGTGATTTACCAACTTCTCAACATATTCGATACAAAATGGCTCCTTCCGCAAAGAAGCTAGAACCTCTTTGGCAGATTTAATTGTTGTGACCACCGTTGCCATAATATTGTCGCAATAGCTGGTAAATGGGTTTTTCTTGATTTTCTGTAGAATAGAAGGAAGTGATATGATCAGGGAGCACGTCAGACATTGTAGTATTTTTTTATCGTGGGAGTTATCGTACATGTGTTCAATGACACGGTAAAAATGCGCATAAACAGCCTTTCAAATGTGCATACCTCACAAAGAGATGTTTTTTGTGTTGTTTTGTCACTGTTTCTTGCCCCATAAATGCCGTTTTAGCATGTTTCGATGTTCTGGTTTCTCGCCTACTCAACCTGTGGTTTCCCGCCAAGGTACGCCTCAAATACAAAAAAGTGTGGGGGGCGGGGGATGGGGAACAACAGGTTGAGGGCAAGTTTTACGATGTCGCGGGGTTTATAAGGCCAACGTGAATCCGGTTGCAATAGGTAATTTTTCTAGTGTACAAAAACCTCGGTTGTTTTTCGTGGTTACGCGTGTGCTTTCCGGCCCTTGGCTTGTAAACAAGTCAATTTGTAAGAGCTCCCTGGGTAACATTGCCAATCTCTCTTTGTCAGAGTTCAAACTCGTCCCCAGGGTAAACAAGAAGCCCCTGGTGTCGACGTTGGCATGAGCTAATGTTTTCCCCCTGTTACTCCCAGTCGAGGGGATTTTGACCGTCCCGCGTGGCTAAGCCAAGAGCAACGGCTTTCCGTAGTCCGTTGCGATTGATAGTGCCACGAGGTTGGGACAGCAGCGCCAAGTTCAAATTTTCTGTTTTATTTTTTGCGCTCTAGACGCTTGACGCCGTGGCTCAATGTTTGGAGCTAAATTGCATTTTTTAAGAAGGAGAATCTTCGGTCTGTGTCTATGCTCAAGCGAAGATTTGGAGAGATTGGAGTCGAACGAGGGTCATCTTTGGAGCTTCTTCTCTGGTAGAGTAAGAAAGTCGACCAGCCGTGTTTTCCCTTGTCGTCCTTTTAGTAGGCGGGAAACCAGAATTTCAAAGCCTGCGTAGCCGGTGAACTTTATTTTTTATTATTATTTTTTTTTGTGGTTCGATAAGTAAGAGACACGCGCGAAAGCTGAACCGAGGTCCAACGTAAAAACGATGGGGGAGGAGGCGAGGGGAGAAGGCAACGTTTCCCTGTTTGACCTCGCGCGTAACTTGCGATTCGATCCGTGAGACGGCGCGATCCTCGCGCGCGGCCGTTTAAATACGAACCAAAAATGAAAATCATAGCAAAAAACCGCCAGCTACGCAGGTTAAGAACATCATAATTTTCATGTTATGCATGAACGACGCTGGTTCTTAAGCAACTTGTCTAAACTCCAATGAATATCCACCTCACAAGAACAGATGGCATATTATTCAGAGGCCTGTTGATTGCCAGTCGTGTTGTTTTGATCCTTCCGTGACACTAGCTTGCATTCTAAGCATAACATGACAAACGGGCTTATAGAGCCTGAAAGTCACTCGCATACAGACGAACAACGGTGCACAAGTCACATAAGGTGCAAGGACAAGCAATGTAAAACTTAAAAAGCAGCTGCAACTAAAAACTGACAAAACTCGATATTTAAGTTATTTGTACAACTATCCCCCGCCGTATGATAGAAACGCTCGTTGCTTTTTGAGTAAACAAAAGCAAGCCAACAAACACATTAAAGTAAGCATTGATGAAAGCTGGTACGAGAAAAGAACAAAAACTTGAAGAGAATGAGTTCATCGTGTGCCCAAACACTTGCGTGTATCTCGATGATTGAAAGGCAATATTGTTCCGCGCGGTTGTTCCGAGATCGATGCTCGATCGAGCACGATTGATCCGTATCGAGCTCGGCTGCCCAGAAAACTAATATGATCCGAACTGGGAACCTGCTGAGGGAGGTTACTGCAGGCGCGCGAGAGGGGGGGTGGGGGGGGGGGGCTACGCTTAACATGGCAATTATCCAAGCGAACACAACAACCTCATCGCGGGCGAAACCCCGGGCGAAACAAACTCGGCCACAAAAATCAGTTACAGTCTGTAAACCTAAAGAAGGCTGGTATGGCCAGCCGAAATATTGTTATAAAAAACAATACACGTTGTCTTAAATCAGCTTTGTAGTAGTCTTTGGACTTCTCGTTCTTGGTTCCTTATATTTTGGCGGATTAGATCTCTTTTCTAGAGATCCAACGTTTACAACTAGCAGGACCTTCGTCCACGGTTTTTGCAGTTAATTTAATCCTTTATTATAAATGATCAACGCATTTTCCTTTAGTAGTAATTTTATTAATTCTCATACCTTTTTTTCTTGACGACGTATTGATGACACACATGTATTGGGAGAAAAGTCAGATATTACATAATTCATCAAATTAAGCTCGATAGCAATAACAGCAGTCAGCTTTTGTTTGTGTTCTTATTATAGAACAGCAAAAGAAAAGCCAAGGAAAGAAAATGGAAGAGGGAAGAGATAATAAAATCCTTTCAAGTGGAAGAGTCATACACGCTGTCCCAGAACATGACCTCATAAGCTTGCAGGAGACGAACTGCTCTTCTTATGTCCTTGTATTCAATTTCATTTAGTTTGCCTTTGTCGTTAGCATGGTAGGCCTCTATGACCTTCATGGCCCCTTCATCAAGGTTACCAGCGCCAAAGAAGCGAAGAAAATCCAGGTCTTCCTCTTGCATTTTGTAGTTTTTCTTCAAAGCATCTTCCAGAGCCAAACACATTTGACCAAAAGCGGGGAAATTGACCGCCACAGCCGCTGCGATTTGTGGGGCTTCTCCATAATGAGCTAAGCGACAAAGATAGGAAGGATATCCCTGGGCATTGGCTTGAGGCTCGTAGTTCTCAAGATTCGAATCGGAAAGTCCCATAGTTTGTGCCATGGCTAGAAGTTTTCCGTGGGCCAGCTTTTCTCCTTCATAAAAATACTTGAAGTACTCGCGGATAACATCATTGCCTTCGAACCTAGAGACCAAGTGTTCCATGCTGCGAGTGTCGGCTGCTACGATGTGGTACTGTTCACAGAGAAATGTTTCCACGACTTTGAGAGGAAGTGTACCAGCTCTTGCCTCTAAGACTACACGATGATTTCCCAGTTTCTCGTCAGTCTCGAGAGAAAACGGTTCCCTTCGTAGAGAAGCAAGAATTTCTTTCGCAGATTTCATGTTAGAGTATAGTCGTGATCACGGAGAGTAGTGGAGAACTTTTTAAATTTCTGTGAAACGAAAACATGACACTGTCAGTAGCCAGATCTCTTATTTATTTGTTTAGTCGTTCATTTATTCGTTCAATTAGTTCCTTAATTGCCCATCACAGACAAAAGCTTTACAAACTAACACTGGGTGGTAATAAAAACTGCTTCTTTATAGGCTGGATCTTTCTAGTAACATCAAAGTCCATCATAAAGCAAAAGGGGGGAAGCTAGATACCGTAGGCTTCAGCCGAACTGTCTTAAACCATACATAATGCAACAAACAAAACGGAGCAGCCTCTCTTGGTGCTAACAAGTACTAGAATGATAACTAGGCCGGCGGTCAAATAGCTAATAGGTCATTCCTAAGTTCCGAAAACTCTCACTTTCAAATTGAGGCTAACTGCAAAACCCTTTCTTGTAGAAATGAGTTTTATTTACATGAGGATAAAAATCATTTCCATATCAATGGCTTTGCACTTAGCCTCACATGTTAACATGTTATTAACCTTTACCTTAAAATTTGTATTTTGGATTAAACGGAAACGGCCGTAAATGTTCATCCAGGCCGAGTTGTTCAAAGTTAGGTTAAGATAACCCAGGGTTAGTGCGAGATTTGAATTCAGATTTGAAAGCTTAAAAAGCATTTCAGTTTTAATTCTTTTTTTCTACAAGTTGATGATTGGAAGTTCTAAAAACTACAGAGAAAATTATCCGAGAAAATGCTTTTGAACAAAAGAAAAAGAAACCCGAGTTAAGCGCTAATCGGCCTTCCAACAACTGGGCCCAGATCTGTATTTCTTCTATACGCTACTATACGGAAGAACAACAACGATAGCACGATCCGAGGGTGGTCTGCCTGTGCCTTGACCCGACTTGACTTGCTGCCACGCAAATGAACGCGCGCAGCACGGATGGGTTCACTTTTTATTTGTCTGTCTAAGAGGTCAATTTAATACGTCCGACTTCACTTAAACTTTACTTGTTTAAACGGGTTTTTTTTTTCAGTAGGTGTTCTTGCGCAGCAAAGAATGCGACTGAAAATGCAACAATTCGACAAAAATTGCGTGACGTCAAAGTCTAAGTGATGTGATAGCTAATCCAACTTATGCAAATTCACCGAGCTTCATTGAACAAGGTTTCAAGCAAAATATAACCCATCCTACCTGTACTACGCGGTTACGGAAAACCAGTAGAAATTATATCCAGACGGTTGTTCCGCATGACAGTCATCTTATCTTAAGCACAATGTTATAAATGTCAGGAAATATTTTCCAATGGAACCCTGACTGACTTTAGACCACTTTAGGTTCAATTTGAAACAAATGATGTTTGAACAAGTTCAACGCTTACAGAATGAGTGACTTCTTTCAACTCCAAAGTACGAGTAACTGAATGAAGAGGATAAACTATAATTCGAAGGGATATAACAATTATCGACATCATTAAGGCGAACAGTGTTAGTTCACCAGACGATATTTCATGATCCTTTGCTTTTAAGAGACAACGTAAAACTAAAATAAAATACAATAAAACATTTCCTTAGCGAAGGCGCTCTGTTAACTCTGTAGTAATTCCATAATGCACATATAACACAAAAGAGAGATGAATAAATAGAGAGGAGGTAGTAAGGGGGTTCACTGCTTCAATCTGAATGAAGTTAAGTTAAATTTAAACTTACCTCAAAGAGATGTGTGAAGTCAAATTGCGTGACGGAATCATGAGATAGCACAGCGGTTTGTTTGGTGGGCGCCGATTAATTATCGTTTCTCCGAACCTTCTCAAGCACGTCTCTGAAGACCAAATTAATGCGATATAGCCAGAAAAAACTGAGTCCCCTAAAGTTCGTATCGCGTTCATGATAAAATAATGACATTAGAAACAACTAACCGCGCAAATAAACAACACAATTAATTCCCCCACCACCACCCGCTAGGAAAATTACGTTTCATTTCAAAATATGGGAATCGGGCACTGGAAAAACAGGATAAAGATTCCCATTCCTCTCGTCAGGTAATGGACGTCACGACTATCAAAACGTAACAGTCCACTCCTCATTACGGAAGAGTAACAAATACTTCTATCCTCAAACCATCCTTTCCATTAAAGTTCTTCATTAAAAACATATGTGAATTGATCTCAAAAAGTTCCTATCAAATGGTCTCAAGTTAATTTCATGCTAAGGCTGAAAATAAATGAGCAAGGGAAATTGGTATAAAAATAATTTTATTAATTTTCTTGCTTGTTTTATCGAGTTGAATTTGAACAATACATATCGAAAGCAGCTCAATTCAAGCCTCGTGGGTTTGCCAGAAGTATTCTCCGCCATCTATGACTGTCGTGAATGGAAGTCCTTTTCTCCGTACATTTTTCGGGCAACACGACGGCAGGCATGACCAACAAGCACTCGAGAAAGAATTTCCTCAGCCTACGACAAGGAAAAAGAGCATGTTTTACAAATACAGCTACCTTGTTTTGCAGGGACCCCGATTTCTTTACTTTGAATCACTGAAGCCACTATTGAGAACCGAGCCTCCTCTGCATTTTTTTTTTGTAATAAATAAATAAATGCTATGAAGAATGACTGAACTCTTTATGCGCCATTTCCTTTTATCTTCGAGCATCTGACTGTTTTAAGACAAAACGATGGAAGGCGATCTGGACCCACGCCTACCCAATCAAATTTTTAACTGATTTGTGAGGCTATGTTCACACTAAACCAGGAGAGCTCTTAATTGCGCCGACACACAAACCACACCGGATAGGGCTTCTGTTCACAGATAACAACGGTGATTGTAACGGAGTGAAGCTGCGCCGCGCCGATTTTCGAAAGTGGAGCGTCACATATCGGATAGGTTCTGTGCCACACTTTAGGGTAGTGTGAACAGGTACTCGAACCGTAGCGGAAGTGAATAAGTTGGAATGAGGAATGGAACCTAGTAAGGCAGAAGTAAATATTCAGGGCCCAGTTGTTCGAAGGCCGATTGGCGCTTAACCCATGCATGCAGGGTTAAATTTAACCCGGGTTTCCTTTTCTTGTGTTCAAAAGCATTTTCTCGGATAGTTTTCTCTGTTATTTTTAGAGCTTCCAATCATCAACCTGTAGACAAAAAGAATTAAAACTGCAACGTTTTTTTTAAAGCTTTCAAATCTGAATGTAAATCTCGCACTAATCCTGGGTTATCTTAACCCAGCTTTGAACAACTCGGCCCAGGAATTTAGACAACCAAACCCGCTTGGCCAACCTTTAATGGCCAACCGCTCTGGCATTATGTTTGTGAAGGACTTGGTCCAGTTCTATGCCGGTGCCGTTCATAAAGTACCAGATAGCTTTTCATGTCGGAACGAAAAGCTATTGCGGTATAGTGTACAGAATAGCCTAAGGGAGCAGCTCCTTTGTGTGGTGGTAATAGCAGATGATACTTCCAACGACATTCAGCCTTTTCGTTCAACTACGTCAAAACTGACAACGAAAGCTAATAAAAAGGATACGGGAACTGAAACGATTAGCATGTTGATCTTAAAATCTTAATTTCAGCCTATCTACAATCTTGGACAAAATAAATGGGAAATTTATACATATATTTGTACCGTGTGTAAATGCTGAAACTGGTAGTAGTACATATGTATAGCATTGTTTAATAAATAGTGTAAATTTTTGAAGCTTGTATTTTATCCTTGTAATTCAGTTATTTTAACTGCAATGGTAATCAATAAACACTTTTTTATACTATTATTATTATTATTATTATTATTATTATTATTATTATTTTAAGGAACCAACATGTTTTTCATTCAAAAGTATTAACAAACACTGTGTAGGAATGTGTATTTAGTCAATTAGTGTCTTTAGAAGGTGAGTGTGGGAAAAATGTTATCTCAGTCCAGCATGATTGGGGATAAGAGCATAATACCTTGATTTCATGGGTGACGACGAAAGGTGTGATACTCGATTTTAAGAGAAGAATTAATTAGAAGAAGTAATATTAATTACATTTATAACGAAATATTGGTTCATTTACCTCCTGAACAGACAGCAAATGGTTTTCAGTGTATTCATTGCACAGTGTAGAAAAAATACTGTCAGTTAAAGGCACATTCTGAAAGGCCTCCAGAAAATCTATACACGAAACAATAACAAAAGGAAGTAAATCAAACTTACGAATTTATATAATATTTTACAAAGCCAATTAAGAACATTACCAAGATTGTTGCAATAATGAAAAAATATAAAGAAAGGATACTTCGACTCTACCTAATATACTAATAGTGTATAAATCATCAGTT